TGATTATTCAGCATTTCTGACGTGCCAGCCCCTAGCCCTGCACGGCACCCTCTATCAGACAACCCCTTCCCCAAGAACATATCTCCGTGGTGTCGGACGCGCCCCTCCCTCTACGCAGGCCCCTCTGTTGCACAGTACCCGCTGCTAGACAAGCTCCTCCCCAAGCCGATTCAAACAAACTCGTGTGATACCAGACGTGCCCCTCCTCCTGCGCAAGCCTCGTGTATTGTTCAGCACCCTCTATGAGACGAAGCCCCATTTGCTGATTCAAACAACGACTCCTGGGTGCTAGACGTGCCCCTATCTCTTCGCGGCCCCCCTCTGCTGCACAGCACCTTCTATGAGACACGGCCCCATCCACAAGATGATTGAACGGCAACTCTTTGGTGCTAGACGTGACCCTCCTCCTACGCTGATTCAAAGTCCCCTCCCAAAGCTGACTCAAAAGCCTTTGGATACTCGGCGTGCGCCTCCTCCTGCACGGCACCCTCTACCATACAACGCCTTTCGCCGCGCTGATCTCAGCACCATTCGTGGGTGCTAGACGTGCCCCATCCACTTTGACAGGCCCCCTCTGCTGCTCAGCGTCCTCTGCCAGGCAGGCTTCCTCCCACAACCGATCAACACATCCCCTTGATACCCGACGTATCCCTCCTCCTGCGCAGGCCTCCTTTGTTGAATCGCGCCCTCTGTGAGACTCCGTGGTGCTGAACGTGCGCCTCCTACGCTGGCCCCTGCTGCTGCACAGTACCCTCTGCTAGGCAAGGCCCTCCCCAGCCTGATGCAAAGAGCAGCTCAACTATTAGATGCGCCCCTCCTCCTGCACTGGCCTCCTGTGTTGCACAGCAGTCTCGCCTTAGACTAGGCCTCACCCCCGCTGGTTAGTCTACAGCTCCGAAGTGCTGGACGTGCCCGTCGCCCTGAACGGCACCTCCTAGTAGATGTAGCCCACCTTCGGGCGAGTTTGAGAAGCAGCTCTTTGGTGCTCGACGCGCCCCTCCCCTTACGCAGGCCCCCTCTGCTGCGAAGCATCCTATGCTAGACCCTCCCCAAGCTGATTCAAACCTCCTCTGTTGTGCAGCACCCTCCAGGATGCCAGGGCCCCTCTCCGCGCTGATCAAACCAACGACTCCTTTGTGATAGGCCCGCGCTGCTTGGAACAGGGCCCCGTCCCCGTTTGCAGGCCTCCCTTGCTGCACAGCATCTTGGATGAGACAATGCCCCTTCTCAAGACGATTCAACCATAACTCAGTGGTGCTATGCGTGCCCCTTTTCGTTGCGCCGCACCCTCTGCTACGCAAGCCCCTCCCCAAGCCTTTGCAAACAGCTCCTTGATACTAGACGCGCCCGTCCGTCTGCACAGGTCCTTTCTGTTGCACAGCACCATTACTAGACAAGGCCCCTCTCCCCACCGATTATTGAACATGTCTGAAGTGCCAGACGTGCCCCTCGCCGTGCACGGCCCTCTCTATCAGACAACCCCCTTCCCCAGGCAGCGTAAACACATGTCCTTGGTGATGGACGCGCCCCTCCCCCTACGCAGACCCCTCCGCTGCACAGTGCCCTCTGCTGGACACTGGACGTGGCCCTCCTTCTGCACGGTCCTCCTCTTTTGCACGGCACCCTCTGTGAGACGAGGGCCCCCCTGCCGATTCAAGCAACAGTTCCTCGGTGCTGGACGTGCCCCCTCCGACGCCGGACCCCGCTGCTGCACAGCATCCCCTGCTAGGCCAGGCCCTCCCAAAGCTTGTGCAACAGTCCCCTTTGATACTCGAAGCGCCCCACCTTCTGCACAGGCCTCCCTCGGTTTCACACCCTCTACTAGAGAAGGCCTCCCCCCCCATTGATAGGCCCCCTCTGCTGCGCAGCACCTTCTGTCGGGCAGATCCTCCCCCAGCTGATTAGTCATCATCCTTGTTGTATACGTGCCCTTCCTCCTACACCGGCCATTCCTATATTAGATGAGACCCCTCGCCAATATGTTTTTCTCAAAAGTTATAGACGTGTCCCTCATTCTGCACAGGCCCATGCGTAGCACCCTTTGCTAGGCGAGCTCGTTCCCAAACTGATTAAAACTCATCACTTTGATACTAGACGTGCCCCTCATCCTGCAGAGCGCCCTTCATTCTAGACGCTACGCGTAACCCCACAAGCCCATCCAGAAACTGTCCAGGTGCGTTGCCCTGATGAGCGGTGTGGAGGAGCATGCAGTGGAACAGCGGGCTGGTGGAGCCGTCATGCCCCGAGAGGGAGAGGATGGAGGAGGAAACGGAGGAGGAGGGGGAGGTGGAAAAGAGAGGAACTGGCGGAGGAGGAGGAGGGCGAGAAGAAAGCCGAGAGGCCTCTTGGATGCCTCTTGGATGCCTCTCGGAGTCTCTTTGGATGTTTCTTGGAAGTTGATGTGAGTCCTCTTGGAGCGTCTTGGAGGCCTCTTGGCGGTCCTGGGGGCCTCTCGGAGCGTCTTGGGTGCCTCGATGGCGCGTTTTGGCGTTCTCTCCGGGGCCTCTTGGGATCGTCTTGGAGACTTCTTGCTCCTCTTGCTTGGAGGCCTCCTGGGCGCCTCTTGGGGCCCTCTTGGAGCACTCTGGCGAGCCTCGGAGGCCATCTTGGGGCCATCTAGGAGGAGATCGATGAAAGAAGGGAAGGGATACCATGTTAGGGTTCCCCCCCCAGGAGGCCAACATGGGCCCAACCCCTAAGTAACATCAAAGATGTTTGCCTTCTCGCCGATGCCGTCTTGAGGGTAAGGAGGGGTGTAAACCCCTCCCCGAAAGGGAAGACAAGGGTTGGAAGAAGGCAAGTTCTAAGCCACTCACGCCCTAAAGGGCTGGTGGGACTAGGCATGGCCTCTCCTAGAGCTGAATTGAAAAGATCCCTATTGCCAGATGTGGCCCTCCCCCTGCAAAGGCCCCTTGTGTTGTGCAGCACCGTCGATTTGACAAGGCCCCATCCCCAAGCTTATTAAGGTAAACTCATTGGCGCCAGACGCCCCCCTTCTAAAGTGGCCACCTCTGTTGCACCTAAAATAGGAAGAGAATCAAGGATAGAGGATCGATAACCCCTAGAGAACGAAAAGAAGCATCACGGGGGCGCAGGTGCACCCGAAGGACCCGTGATCCAGCAAGTGCATGTGTCATGACGGTTACGATGATGTCGTCGTTTCTGATGGCTATGATGACGATAAGGATTGTCCTGTCGGTGCTGCTGTTGATGGTGGTGATGATGATGTTGGTGATAATGATGTTGCTCATGATGATGGAGACGACGTTGACGACGTTGATGATGATTAGGAGGATGTTGATTATGATGACGGTCATGGCAGTAGTTGTGTTGATCACGGTGGTAATGATGATGATGATGGTGATGATAATGATGTTGATGCTCATATTGATGACGACGACGCCGATGATTGCGATGATCATGCGTATGATGATGATGATGATGATGATGATGATGATGATGATAATGATGATGATGATGATGATGATGATGATACTGATTATGAAGATGATTGTGGTGGTGATGATGATTTATTGGATTGATGCAACCCTGGAAACGAAATGGCCGTTTGTGATATACTGGTTCCGTTTTGCCGTTGTTGTACCGATTCTGTCGCCGTGTTCGTTCCAGTTCCTGTTTTAGTTCCAGCGCCGTTGTTCGGTTGTCTGGGGTCACCATTGTTCTGCCTTTTCCATTTTCAAGAGGGTGAAATAACGGCCTTGCCGTTTCTGGTGCGCACGAAGTTTAAAGTTGATGTTGATGCTTATATTGATCACGGAGGTAACGACGATGATGATGACGATGCTGATGTTGAAGTTGATGATGATGATGCCGATGATGTTGATGGTGATGATGATGCTGGTGATGATGATGATGTCGATGATGGTGGTGACGACGACGACGACGACTACGATAAAGATGATGATGCCGGTCATGATAATGCTGATGTTGTTGATCATGTTGTTGTTCATTAGGATGATCATGATTGTGGTGTTGCATGGTGATGGCAATGCTGTTGCTCATGATTGTGATCATAAAAGACGACGACGAAAACGAGGTGCCGAAAGAGTATGGTGACTATCGCCAAAAAGTGCCTTCTGCACTTCCCCCTCCTCCTGTCCCTTGTAAGCCTCCTCTCCCTCACCCTCCCAGGCCGCGTCCTGGTCGCTCTCCTGATTGCCAAATGTGCTTGTCGATGGTGGTATTCGTTCTTCGACTCTGTTTCCTGCTGTTCTTCGGCCGTTCCTTTTGGTTTCCCTTATCCCCGTTCAGAGGAGGATGGAGGAAGAGATGGGGGATCGGGGATCGAGACTCGAGGGGGATTTGTAAGATCAGTGATCCAGGATGAGTCGAGGAATGAGGATCCATAATCGAACAAGATGACTAGGGAGGAAAAGAAGAAGGACGATGCAGGACCGAGGAGAAGGAGGAGACTCGAGAAGAGGAGGAGGAGGAAGAGGAGGAGGAGGAGGAGCAGGAGGAGCAGGAGGAGGAGGCCCTGGGCGTCCGGCGCCAGACCCCAGACCCTGGGCCCCTGGCCATGGGCCCCATGCAGGCCCTGGACGCGAGCTCCCGGGCCTCGGGGTCCGGCCTCCGACCTCGGACCCGAGCCCTGGGCCCTGGGCCCCGGACCCCGGCCGAGCCCCGCCTGTTCCGCCTCCGCCTCCGCCTCCTCCTCCTTCGCCTCCTCCTCCTCCTCTCCTCCTCCTCTTCCTCTTCCTCCTCTTCTCCTCCTCTTCTGTTCTATGGCCAAGGGGAAGAAAAATCCGCAGGCAGCAGCAACGTGTTTTTTCACGAGATGCGGACGCTGGCGACGAGGGACGATCGGACCCTGCGAGCCGCCCCCAGCCAGGCGACGAGGGCCGAGGGAATCTCGAGCACCACAAAGCAACGTGCCGCAACGGCGGGTGGCCTATCCCGCTCTGAGGTGCTTGACGAGGTGGGTGCCTTGATGTTGCTGTCATTGTTGTACTTCGGGCGGGGGGGGGGCGTTGGGGCAGGCCCGCTTCCCCGTGGGCGCGCTGAACCCGACCGTGGCCGCGGTATCCGGCTTCTGCATCGCGCTGGTGGCGGCGAGGACATTTTGCACCGTTCCCGCTGCGGCAGCGGGGGAGGATAGTCGTTCAGAGCCTAGAGTTATACGGGCAATGGGCGGTCAGGGATGACTCCTGATTCGGGTCTCCCGCTGTTGCGCTGGAGTTACCAGTTGTCCCAGATATCCTTCAATTCAGTTATGGCCCAACGTGTGTGTGTGTGTGTGTGTGTCTGTGTGGCTGTGTGTCTGTGTGTCTGTGTGTCTGTGTGTCTGTGTTTGTGTTTGTGTGTGCGTGTGTGTGTCCGCGCCCTGGTTCAAGCCGCTCCTGGCTCGATAGGAGCAACAGCGGATCGCGCCGCGGGGCTGGCGCTCGCCTGACCACCTGACCAGTGGCTTGATTGGGGTGGGGCTGGGAAGGACCCCCCCGCGCCCATGGATTCCCGCTTCGCTCTGCGCCGCCGCCAGCGGCGCGCGGCCGCCGGCCAGGCCGCTGGCGCGGTTGCTGGCGCCGCGCCGCCTGGCCTCGCGGCGGGCCGCCTGCTGACCGGCCGCGGCCGCTGCTGCGTGCGGCGCGGCCTTCGACGCTGCGGAGGCTGCGGCGGCCGCCCGTCTTTGGTTGGCCGTCGTTGCCGGAGCTCGGGCCGCTGCGCTGGCGGCTCCCGCGGCTGGCGCGCCCCAAGCGGCTGTCGCTGGGAGGGAAAGGCTCGGTGAGCCCCTGGGGCCGGAGGCGTTTCTGCCCGCAGCCGGCGCTGCCGGCCCTGCCCTGTTCCGGCTTGGCGCCGCCTGCGGCTGGCCCTGTCCGCGGCCTTGGCCGTTGCCGCGGCTGCCGAGGCTGTCGCGGCGGCCTGCGCCAGTGCTGCGTCCGCCGCTGCGGCGGCCGTGGCTGGGTTTGCCGCCTTGTCAACGGCTGCTGCTGCGGCGGCGGCCGCTGGTGCTGCCGCGGCTGCCGTGGGCCGTGGCTGCTGCCGTGGCGGCCGAGTGCGGCCCAGTCGCCGCTTCGGCCTTTGCCGATGCTGCCGACGCGCCCGCCAGGAGCGTAGGCGCTTCAGCCGTCGACGAGCTGGCGGAGCCGCCGCGGCGGTCTGGTGTTGCCGCTGCTGCTTTTGGCGCCGATGTCCTCGTTGGCCAGACCGACGGACAACGCGGCTGTTTGAACGCCTTGGTTCCCTCGAGGTAATCATCTCCAGCGCTCGACTCCCAAGAGGAGTCTGCGGAGGGTGTCGGGGGCGGGGAGGTCACGGACGAGTGCGACGAGGGCGACTGGAATAACGATGTTGGTGTCAACGGCGTCGACGAGGAGGCGGGCGACGGCGACGCGACGGAGGACGGGGAGGAGGGCATGTAGGATGCAGGTGCCGCGGACTGCAGGTCGGCCTTCGTCGAAAAGGAAATGATCGGTTTTTGTGACCTTGCTGGCATCACGCTGATTGGCAGCGCGGAGAGCCTAAACCATATCCGCACAGATGACACCGCGCTGGATGGCAGTGCGCTTGAGGACGTCGCGCGCGCCAGCAGCGCAATGGATGGCAACGCGCCGATCTGCGCTTCCGATCCGCCCATGGCCCCCGCACCTCCCGTCGAAGACGCGGCAGAGAGAATGACAGGATAGATCGTCAGCGACGGAAGTGCCGGGCTGATGGAAGAGATCGCCGACGGGGAGGGCGGTGGCGCGCGCGCAGAGCTCCTTCTTCGCCAATGCCAGTCAAAGCGTGGTTCCCGGCCGGATATCAAGGATCCCAGCGAAACAGGGCATGGGGTGATCCCGCGGGGATCCCGCTGGGCAGGCCCTAGACCCGCTGCCTCCTTCTTTGCCTTCTCCGATGGATGCGGGCCGCGCCTCCGCGGGCCCTGGCCTCGCCGCCGCCGATCTGAAGACGGCGGACTACGCCCTCCCGATCATTCAAGCCACCCCGCCTCCGAGCTGATGGCCCACCACGACGTTGCGGGCGCAGGGCCGGGGCGGCGTCGCAAAAAGGAAATCGAGGACCCCGGCGCAGCCTCTCCCGATTCACGCGCATCTCCGCCGACGTGCGCGAGAGCGGAGGGGGGCGCGCGCATCGCCGACGAAGATAGCGAAACGACGAATATGACGAGCTCGCCCTGCGCCGCCCAGTCGCGCACGGCCGCTTCGCGTCTCTCCAGCGCCGCGCCGCCAGATCAAGCCGGCGCCGACAGCGATGGGCTCGCGCAGCGCTGGGGACAGACCTGCGCGCCGCCCCGGCAATCGGCCCGCGATCTCGGGGGAAGGGGGCGAGCCCCCCCACCTTAGGTCGCGCGGCCGGGCCTCCCCCACCCTGCTATACCCCCCGGATGGTCCGCGGGTTGTTTCGCCCCCCGCCGCGGGCGGCGGCCTGCCCCCAGCGCGCCCCGGCGCGCGCGGCAAACCGCCGCGCTCGGGCAGAGCAGCTGTAAGCGACGCTGCCGCGCGAACGAACCATGAGAATATGTTTCTATCTATTTAGATTTTTCCTATCCATTCAGAGCGGTGCCGATCTATTTAGATCCGCCTATCTAATTAGAGCTCGGTGATCCTAATAGAGCCTTTTTTTCCCAGAGCCGATCTATTGAGAAAAGTTGTTCTGTAAAAGCCCGATCTATTTAACTAGATCGGTTGATTTTCCAAGAGGCCCTACATGGGTATCAAAGAAGGCCGAATTTGTGCTATGAGAAATCTTGATGTTTTCTTGCCGATTCACAAGGCTCAACATCGTCTACATGACGCAGCGGCCAGGGGCACCTCGCATGCATGAGGCAGCGGCCAGGGGGTCCTCGTCTAAGGAGCCCCTCGGCGCGAGGGAGGAGGGAGGGGGGGTATGTCGCCGCGGCCGTTTGCGGATCCGATGCGCATTTAGGCTCGAAGCTAAGCGCTCGCGCACCGCGCGCCGCGCCCCCTTGCCCCGCCACAAGATGGCCGCCTGACGCGAGTGCCCCAGGGCCACTTGCATCAGCGATCTCCAAGCGCTCACGGATATGTGCGCAAGACGCACGCGCCCAGCATCATCCGCTACCAGGCGCAGAGCGATGTCGAGGAGGCGGTGCGCCTTAACAGGGTTTTCTTGGTCGACTTGGCGGCGCTGACGCCGCGCGCGCCTGCGCCGCCCCTTGCCGGGGCCGCCGAGGGCCGCTCGACATGCCCACCCGCGTCTGGGGCATGGTTCGCGAGGCTGACATGCGGGAGCGGGCGCGCCAGACGGCGCCAGCGTGGGGCGCCGCCACTGCCGCCAAACCGGCGCTGCAGGAGGCTTTCGCCCGCGCTGTGGATGAGGAGGCCTAGGGCGTGTCGAGGGCAGCCTACGGCCATGGCCTGATGGACGTCTAGGAGTCCTACGACTCCATGAGCTGGGTGCCGCTGGACCGCGCCGCGGCGAGCCAGGATGAGCGCCCGCAAGAGGAGGAGGAGGAGGAGGAGGAGGAGGAGGAGGAGGAGGAGGGGGAGGGGGAGGAGGAGGAGGAGGAGGAGGAGGGGGAGGAGGAGGAGGAGGAGGAGGAGGAGGAGGAGGAGGTCCGTATCCATTTTGGCTCAAGATGACCAGGGGGTCATTGAGCCAGAACGTAAGACTACGACGCGCACTGCCCGTCAGTTTCCTGCTCGCCAGCATCTCATCAGATGGCGCGCGCGTGGTGGCAGGAGTCGCCCGCCCAGCCCAACTATGCCAAGAAGCAGCGGTGGCAGGAGGAGCAGCGGTGGCAATGTCGCACGAGTGGTTGCCATTCATGGAACCAGGTTGCAGCCAAGAAGTGCAAAGGATGTGGTCTCAAGAAGAGTTGGGCCCAAGTTGTGCAGTCCGACAAGGTAGAGGCACCGCCGCCGTGGGCTCAGCGCACCACGACCTTGGACTCTGCTGTTGGCCCGACCACGTCATATACTGCGGCGACCGCCCCGCAGATCGACCACAATGTCAAGATCAAGAGCCTCGAGAACGCGATGGCTGCACTCCCGCCTGGCGACGAGTTCCAGCCCACGCGAGAGATCCTCGCGAAGCAGATCCAAGAGGCCAAGGGAAATGTCACCCTCTCGAAGCCGCTGAGCAGCCAGCTCGTCTCGCGCAGGTCCGCGGTGGAGCGGGCCGACAAGCGTCTCGCCGACAGCCAGAAGACGCTGGCCAAGGCGCAGGGCGAGGTGAGCCAGGCTGCCGTGGAGTCGGAGCAGCGCAAGACCGAGCTGCAGGAGCTCGAGGCCAAGGCGCTGCAGGTCAATGCCCCGAACTCCCTCGAGGCATCGACTCAGAGCCTGTCCAGAGTCATCGCCGACATGAAGTCCTCCACGGTGATCCCCCAGGCCACGCTGAGGGAGGCGGAGACAGAGATCATGCGCCTCCTCGCGGGCCTGCAGAGGATCGCGACGGAGGCCAACGCCCAGCTCACGCCGGCGCAGAAGAACGCGGTCGACGAGGACACATAGCCAGACGACCAAGTAGTGAAGCGCTGTATGAGAGGAAAGCAGAACCCGATGGCGACAGGCACCGCAGCGGCCACCGATGCAGCGTCAGTTTTTCAAGATGCAGGCCCTCCAGCCCCGACGGCATAGAGGACTCGGCCTACACCAGAGTGCGATGCGCCACGGGTAATGTGCGCACGCTATGCCCCAAGCAGGAACTGGCCAGTTACTCCAAGGCGGTGGGAGCTACCTTGATGTCGAAGGTGGCCTTGCTTGAGGCCCAATTTTCACATGCAGGAATTCAATTGATCGGTATTCAAGGGGGGCGAAGTCAGTCGGAGCAAGTTAGAGCAGGTACCTTTTACACTATGCATTGTGTTTCGGCAGGCGCAAAAGGCTGCTACGGGACTCAGTTGTGGGTGAGCTACGACGTTGATTTTCGGCTTGAGGCCTGGGCAGCCCCGCGCTCACGGATTGTAATAGCAGCGGGCGCGATCGCAGCGGATGCGGACAGGGAACGAGTTCCTCTTCTCGCGGTCGCAGCGCACGCACCTCATTCTCATGATTCTCCTGAGCATCGTCAGAGTTTTTGGTCTCTGCTGAGTGACGCGATCACCAAGTGGAGACAGACATATCCTTCTTCTTGTGTGGTCCTCGCCATTGACGCGAATGCTCGGGTTGGCTCGGTGCAGTCGAGTGCCTTTGGACAGGAAGGCGCTACCCAAGAGAACCGCAATGGAGCACTCGTGCGATCGGCGCTGGAGGCGCAACGCATGTTTGCGGTCAATGCCTTTTCAGGCAGGCGAGTGGACGTGAAGACCGCCCAGAGGCGAGCCGTCTCGACTGGACTACGTGTGCCTTCTGAAGAGCGAGTATGTACCTGAGCGGAGTGCTTGGGTCTCAGATGATTTAGATTTGACTCTTGATCAAAGTGTGGATCACAGAGTCGTGGTTGCCGAGTGCGATGTGCGCGCAGTACCGAATCAGGAAGTGAACGCTGTCGTTGCGGAGAAGGCGTCTCGCATCTTCCCATCCCGCTTTGACCGTCGGCAGTTGGGCGACCCGAGCTGCCACGAAGCGCTTCAGCAAAAGATGTGGGAGTATCAGATGCATGGCGGGGATCCGACTGAAAAGCTTGCATTTCAACGAGTATGTTCGGCAAGCGGCCTACGAGGCCTTTGGCAGTAAGAGGGATACTCCCACTAAGCCGTGGATTTCAGATCGGACGTGGACAGTGCTGAAGTGGAACGCCCCACTCCGACGGCACGTGCATGACCTTTTTCAGCAGCAGCGTCGTCTTCGTCTGCAGCTTGTATTTCAAGTTCAGCTGGCCCAGAAGCGTGCTCCATATCCATGTACATCATCATGTAGACACGGGTGGAACGCTGTTGTTGAATATGAGCAGTTACGCGTGAACATGCGTATCGTGGAAAGGTGTATTGCGTGTGCTGTACACAGTCAACGTATACTGAAGGGCCTGATCTAGCCCCTGTGCGGCATTGATCGGAACATCACGTTAGAAGGGCACGCATCTGAGCTGGACAGGCAAGCCCTCAATGGGAAATTTGCTGGTACCTTTACGATCGTTCGCATGTTGTCTCGGGGAGGAGTCCGCGGACACACTGATGTTAAGTTAGATTCGGGTGAGCTGTCGGCTTCCGCGGATGATCGAGATCTAGCTTGGCAACAACACTACAGTAGAGTATGTCAACCTGAGGTCAAGAACTTGAGCGAGATAGTTATCCCGTGTTCTGGCAGACCCCAGCTTCCCTGGCTTTCAGCATGTCCCCTGAGGCCACCTACGAGGCAATTCAGAAGCTCGCGAAGAGCACGGGGGTCGGGTGCGACGGGGTCCCCGCGGATTTCCTGCAGGCTGGCGAGTGGCCCTTGGTGCTCGACGCGAATGAGATCGAGAACACTATTCTGAATGCCATGAGGTGGCCAAGACAATGGACGGGCGGAAAAATGGCATCCTTGTTCAAAGGGAGAGGTGATCATCAGGAACGCAATGATTACCGCGGTATTTTATTGGAAGACCACTCGGGCAAGTCGTTCGTAGGTCGCATGAAGAGAAGCATCGATCCTGTTTATAATGAGAAGATGCCGACGACGCAGTTTGGTGCCGTTCCTAGGCGGGGGACCGACTACGCCGCGCACATAGTACAGAGCATGGTAGCATACGCTGAGAAGAGAGGGTGGTATGTGTGCATTCTGTTCGTCGACTTAGTCAAAGCGTTCGACAGAGTCGTGAGAGAGCTGGCGTTTGCAATCCCTACACATATAGCGCCTGAGCACGCCGCTCGCCTTGTATATCTCGAATCGCTAGGTTTGAGCAGCACAGTTGCACAGCAGATTCTGAAGCAGATCGAAGACAACGGCCCCCTCCTCGAGCAGTGGCAAGTAGATCCCTGCGTGGCTGAACTATTGTGTTCTCTGCAATCGAGCTCCTGGTTTAGCATCGGTTCGCTTGAGAGTGTTGTTTGTCCACGGTTGGGGGGGCGCCAGGGTGGTCAGGTAGGAGCCATGCTATTTAATGCTGTCTACTCTATCGCCCTGCATGCTATACAATCCCGTCTGAGAGGGGAAGCTCTAGCCTTGAACTTGGAGGCCCCTGCCCAGGAGTTTTGGTCGGATCGCCTCGAGGCGCGCGGCCGCGTTTGCAGCATTACCGACTGCGCCTTTGTCGATGATGAGTGCATCATGCTTGTTTGCAGCACTGCCCAGAGATTGAGTGAGAGTATTCCGAGGCTTTTGAGCGTTCTGGTTGAAACCTTACCCTCACTCAATCTCGAAATTTAATAGGCCCCGGGGCAAAACAGAAGCCCTGGTCCAGCTTCGTGGTCAAAAGTGTCAGCACATCTTAGATCCCACCTGTTTGAGGGGGAGTTGTCGTTCCCTGTGCCAGGGAGCGAGAGACGTCTCATGGCTGTTGACAGGTATAAGCACCCAGGATCAATGTTGCCCCTTCGGACGGCATGCGCAGCAGATGCCAGGCATAAAGAGAAGTCGACTCTAGCTGCGTACTCCCCTCTCGCCTCACGCATGTTTGGCTCGCCAGTGATACACGACTGGGTAACTATTCATCTGATGAGCTCGCTGTTGCACACGAGGCTCTTTTTCAATGCACACGTTGTTGTTCCGAGCCGCCAGTATATCAGAACTCTGAACGCCGCGATGATGCGTCCTCTGAGAAAGATTTTTGGAGAGTCTCGATTTCAGAGAGTCGAACACAAAGATGTTGAGGTCAGACTCTGCATGAGCATGCCGTCAGTCGGTTGCATACTACAGCGTGCCAGGCATGTGTACTTGAGGCGTGTGCTGATCCACGGCCCCGTGGAGTTGCATGCCCTTTTGCACGTACAGGTGAAGGGTGAGCGTCTTCCATGGACGAAGCTAATCACCGCCGACTTACTGACATTGCACGAAAGGGTGATTCGAAACTCGAAGTTTTCCCTCCCCGTCCCGCTTGAAGGCCCCCAGGTTTGGGGCAAGTTTATTCGAGAAGCTGGATCCTTGTGGAACCAGCTCGTTCAGAAACTGTTTTATTGTGACTCTGTTGCCGATTCGTCTGCCAGCAGTCAACCTGAGGTAGGTGATGAAGGCCATGCTGCCGCCAACCCCGCTCGTCCTCATGTGTGCGATGAGTGTGTGCGTGCGTGTGTCGCCCCTCCCCCGACCTTCGCCACGCCTCAAGCCTTGCTTTCCCACAATATGAGGAAGCATAATGTGCGATGTTTAGCGAGAAGATACGTGGGCGAAGACGCCCTGTCCCCGGTGTGTAAGACCAAGTTTGGCTCGAGGTGGCGTGCTTATAGTTCATTTAACTAAGCACCCCCCTGGCGCCGACCCCCGAAAAATACCGTGTAGTAATCTTCTCGAGGTCAGTACCCCCCTCTCACAAGAAGAAGTGGAGAGGCTTGATATTGCAATGCGTGCTAAATGGAAGAAGGCCTACACTGATGGGCACCCCCAGCCAGTCACCAGAAGACCTGCTAAGAAGCTGGTCTTGTGAGGTGAGGTATGATGATGTGGTGTATAGTTCGACTTGAGACCCCTCTGGGAACCTGGGAAGTAGTAGGAGAAGGAGGAGGAGGAGCTGGAGGAGGGGGGGAGGGGGACAAGCTAGGTGCGCTCGCGTCATATCTGACATCCTACCCCTCCCCCCCATCTCTTACCATGGCGTAGGTCCCCTCTTTACTCGCACAGTCGGATGTCGAGCAGGGCAATGATCGCGAAAGGGTACGCGATGCATTGTAGAGCACGGCGTGGCATGGCGTGGAAGAGCACCGCAAAACGTAGTATGCCACAGCATGGCGAGGCGTGGCGTAGTGAAGAATTGCATCAGAAAACTTCACAACGCAAGGCATGGCATCGCACAGCGGCCCCGAACATACCATTGCATAGCATGGCTTTGAATATCAAAGCGTTGCATGGCATAGCACGACGTGGCACTTAAGCACTGCATACCACAGCTTCAGCTGAAGGCGTGCCATCGCGCAGCGGAACGCAACCTAGCATTTCAGCGCATACCGTGGCATGGCACGAGAAATGACGCCAACGCTGCAACGGCAGCACGATTCGGAACGAGCGGAAGCGCGGAAATGAGGCCAGCGTTGCAGCGGGAACACGATTCGGAACGAGCGGACGCACGGAAATGAGGCCAGCGCTGCAGCGGAAACACGATTCCGAACGAGCGGGGCCCGAAAATGAGGCCGGCGACTCAGTGAGAGCAGCTTTTCGACAACCAAAAAAATGCAAACGAAAAACCAAATCCGGGGAATCTGGTGTGTAGAAAACAGTGCGCGGGGGGACGGGGGGGGGGCAAACACTCCCAACCCGCCATCAGGGGAAGGAGGAGAGTAGTATTCATATTGAGTAATTGTGGAGGAGGGGGAGGAGGGGGAGGAGGAGGAGGAGGAGGAGGAGGAGGAGGAGGAGGAGGAGGAGGAACAGCCCACGCCCGCCTGCGCGGCATGTCGCGAGCGGGCCGCCGCTGCGCGCGATGCGTGCGCATCGGCCAGGTCGGAGTCTGGACGGCTGCGACCTACGGCCGCGAGGTCTGCGGAGCTTTCGGCTCACGGATGCTGGAACTCTGCAGGCGGCTGGGCGTTGTGTCAGGCGCGGCGCCGCGAGGGCGACGCTTGACGTTCCAGCTTCTCCTTCGCGTTAGGCGCGGAGATCCCGCGCACAAGTTGCCGCGGGAGATGATCAGCTTGTGGTTCTCCGCACGGCAGCGCGGCCCAGAGCTGAGGAAGCGGATAGCGAAGGCTTGGATTCTTGTCCACGGTCCGTCTCGCGAGGCCGAGCCCAACCAGAGGTCTCGCCTGGTTCGTGGGCCCACTTCAGCTCTACAGTGCTACCCGATGCAGTTCGGGTGGAACCCTGTGGGTCCCATGGGCTGGGAGCGCCACTGTGCAGATGGATCGCGCGAGCGATGGGCCTTTCCAGATGCGGCCAGTGTCGACCACGGTTCGCCGGAGCAGCCGCTCGCCGCCATCGACGATTCCATCCAGGACGGGCTTTGAGGGCAGGCGTCGCAGCACTGGTGCGGCTCCGGGCTCGAAGGAGGCGCGGACGCGTCATCCCTGCCGGAGCTGCTCGGCGTCCTGGGCCGCCTTCCCGGCGGCGCTGCGCTGGAGGAGCTCATGGTCACGAACGCCGTGGGCGGCACCTGGCCCAGGCAGCGGAAGCACGAGACGTTCGGGGCGGCCGTCGACGCCACTTGCCCCGGGTGCGGTGGAGCGCCCGAGACGGCTAACCATCGTCTGTGGGCCTGCCCCTGCAGCGTGGGCTCGCGGGCCTACTCCGACAGCGGCTACCTGTGTGGCCGCGCGCGGGTGGAGCACGAGGCGCACGAGGGATTCTGGCACCGTGGCGTGCTGCCGCGGGCTTGGACTGAGGTCCCCGAGCCCATCGCCACGGACCGCTGGATTTAAGTCGGGCCCGTCCCTCTACAGGAGGAAGATGCAACAATTATTTCAAAAACATAGTCTGAAGACTATTTTTCTAGTATTTGTTGACCATTTTGGAGTATTTTTTGAATATGTTTCATTTTTCGTCGAAAATCCCCCTGTAGTGGGACACGCCCGACTTAACGCTGGATGAGCGTGGGCCTGGAGGGCCCCATTGCTGCAGGCGCGTTGGGCGCCGGCACGGCGGCGGGGCCCCTCGTCGTCTTCGGCGACGGCAGCGACGGGCCGGAGGCTGCTGCCCCCGCGCTGCGCCGAGCGTGCTAGGCGGCCGTGGTCCGCGCCATCTTCGGAGGCCTGTCTCAAGTCGGGTTTGTTCCTCTACGGGGGGGGGGGATATTCAAAAGTAGTCAAAACATGATCAGAGGATGATTGTTTTTAGTATGCTTTAAATTTTTATCCAAAATAATTTTAATTCAAATTTTAATAATTTTAATTTAATATTTTTTAATATGTATGTTGTGTATCTTTTTAATTTTTCGTCCAAAATCCCCCTGTGGGGGGGGGACAGGCCCGACGTCAGGCTCGTCGGGCTTGGGGCAGACGGTGCGCCGCAGCGAGATGAGGGCTCTTGTCTTGGCTGGCCAGTGTTCTTCAGGAGGGAAGAAAACACACAGACACAATTCATCGTCGATTCCCAAGAAAATATGGGAAGTGGGGGGGAAGACAAAAACCCAAAAAATATGGGAAAATATGGGGAATCCTTTTATTTGTGTGTATTTATTTGTGTGTCTCAGGGCCCCTTCAGTTCTTCGGGCCCGACGATGCTCACATCGGACTGTATGTCGGTATGTGAAGGGTCGTTTCGGCGTCGATCGCTCGGACGTGTGTACTCTTTCTCGGCGAGAACCATCGAGGACCATCCTGGACCATCGAGCAAAAAAAAACACGCACGAAACCCAGCAATGCACGGGAAAGGAACGTCCGAGCGACGGCAAGTGGTGGGCCCGGCGCGATACCGCGCCGCGCGGCCCCGATGCCGATCTGTGGCGGGCGCCGGCGGTTGTATTCGCCGACCGTTCGCGCAGCGAGCTCGTGGTCTTCCACGCGCGCCCGCACCTTGAGGTGGGCCAGGCCGAGCAGCGGCGCACTCCGCAGCGGGCTACTCCGTGGCAGCACCGTCGCCGACGTGCTTGCGGGCGTCGTGGCCGAGTCCGTCGGGCCAGTTGCCGCTGTTGTTCATTGCATTCCTTGCGCCGAGCGCGATGCCCTGCACGGTCGCTTCTCCGGGCCACGCTGGACGCCACGGAGGCGGAGGGGAAGGCGCCGAGGCCGCCAGCCTTGCAGCGCAGGGCGCCGCCTGGGCGCCGCGCCATGGCCCCGTTCTGCTCCTCGCACGCCCTGGCCGCTGACGGCAGCTGCTCGCGGTGCCGCTGCTCGGCGTCGCACGCCGCCCGCGTGGAGAGGCGGCAGACCCCGTGCCCTGGACTCCGCACCGTTGACCCCGACCTGTGCGAGTTGGGCGGCGGGCAGCGGGTCCACGTCGGCGGCGGCGAGCCGCACGGGTTCCACACGATGGCGCTCCACACGGCGCGGGACTTCTGGTATCGCCGCTGCTGTGGTTTCTTCGCTCGAGCTTCTGGATGCCGGTTCGGGCGCGGGCTGATGGACGAATGCCCAGCCCGAGGAGGTGGCCGCCCCAATACCACGGGCAAGAATTACCTTGGCCGCATCGCGCGCGGCCCGACGCGGGCCGAATCCACCGCGGGGCCGCCCAGCGTTTCGCCCAGCCCGCGATTTGGGGCACCTCTTCTTGTCTGTCCGCAAGCATTATGATGGCCTCTCGGAGATCCTGCCGCCGCGGCCGCTGGGCGTTTCATCGACGGGTGGGACGTTTCAGTCTGTCCTTCTCCTTCTCCTCCTCCTCCTCTGCCTCCTTTTCACCCCCCTCCTCCTCCTCCTCCTCCTCCTCCTCCTCCTCCTCCTCCTCCTCCCTCCTCCTCCTCCTCCTCCTCCTCCTCCTCCTCCTCCTCCTCCCTCCTCCTCCTCCTCCTCCTCCTCCTCCTCCTCCTCCTCCTCCTCCTCCTCCTCCTCCCTCCTCCTCCTCCTCCTCCTCCTCCTCCTCCTCCTCCTCCTCCTCCTCCTCCTCCTCCTCCTCCCCCTCCCCGTAGCAAGTGTGGTTCAGGCCATTTTGGCTCAAGGGGCCAGCGAGTTGCCTTCTGCAGTGCCCCATTTGCCGTTGAGTGCCATCTCCTGGCGCCCCCTTGCGGCGGCCACGGGGTCTTCTTCAGAGCGTTTAGCAAGTGGCCTGCGCACGCGTCGGCTGGTCTTCGAGGCGTTCGGCAAGGCTCCGCGTCCGTCCAGCCGCTTTTCGATGTGTTCGGCAAGTGGCCTGCGCCCGCTTTGGTTGATCGTCGCGGCGTTCGGCAAGGCTCCGCGTCCGTCCGCGTCCGAAAGGCATTCGGCAAAGGTCCGCGTCTGTCCGGTCGAGGCGTTCGGCAAGTGGCTTGCGCCCGCTCTGGCTGGTCGTCGAGGCGTTCGGCAAGGATCCGCGTCCGCCTGGCCGATTTCCGAGTCGTTCTGCAAGTGGTTTGCGCTAGGTTTTTTGCAACGTTCAATCTGCCACGTGGACTATTTTGTTTGAAAGTTCTTCGTGTTTCAAGGTCGCTCCTCCCTCCTTCTACTGCTCCTCCTCATCCTTCCCCTCCTCCCCCTCCTCCTGCTCCTCCTCCTCGTCCTCGAGCTAAGGCGCGGGGACGGAAGCGTAGTCATAATACGTGCTGATCCTCTTCTTTCTTCTCCTCCTCCTCCTCCTCCTTCTCCTCTTCCTCTTCCTTCTCCTCCTCCTCTTCTTCCTCCCCCTCCTCCTCCTCCTCCTCCTCCTCCTCCTCGCCCTCCTCCGTCTCCTCATCCTCCTCGTCGTCGTCCCTCTCCTCCCCCTCCGCCTCCGCCTCCTCCCCCTCCTCCTCCTCCTCCTCCTTCTTCTTTTCCTCCTCCCTCTGCAGCGCTGCCGAACGTCTCCCGTATTGCGCCGCCCCGCGCCCGACGCGCGCAGAGCGCGGCAGGGGCCAGGGCGGGCCCGACCCGTTGTGGAGGGGGGGGCAGGAGAGAAGGCCACCGACGCTTTCCTGCCACGTCTCCTGCGGCCAACACGGCCTCATCCACCTCCTTATCCCCCCCCATCTTCCACCCCCCCCCCGCTTCCTTTTCTCTTCCAGTTTGCCTTTGTACGTGTCAGGTGTTTCTTCTTCTTCTTCTTCTTCGTTTTCGGGATGGGGCTTCCAGGAGGGTATGTTCAGCATCCGCGCCGGTAAAACCGTGGTTGGAGACAGGCCTAATCCGGCATAGTCCTGCGCAGTACAGCTTAATGCGCCCCCCCGCTGAGCGTCGCCGAATCCAAACTCGCGGCCCCTTGGCCTGGCTTCAAAACACGTCAATTTTTTCGACGAGAACCTTTGGAATTTTGTTCCAAATCCTCCCAGCCCCCCCCCCAGCCCCCCCAAATCCGTGATTTTGGCAGGGTTCTGATTCGGAAACTGGAGCATATACATTACCAGTGGCGGGTTGTTTTTTCAATCCACGACTTTTTGAGCGTAGGGGACGACGTCGGGGTGGTGTGGTGTATACTTGTTTCCCCGTTTCCCCGTGGAAACAACAAAACATGTAAAACATGTATACGCCAGGATGCCGTATACACCATAACTTCTCAGTTTTCTTATGCGAATCTCAGTGCGGGACCGGACAAAAAAACATCGGTGTAGAAAGTTCGGTTCCTCTCCCGTCTCCCTCCTGACCTCCTGACCCCGCGCCTCCGCCCACAGTGCTGCCGCGGGCCTCGGCGTGGCGGTCGTGGGCTGGCACTCCGGGCGGCGAGCGGCCGGGTCGCTGGAGGACCGCGCCCGCGCTTTCGGGGGCCCCCGAACGGTGCGGTCCTCATCCTGAAAAGAATGTTCCCAGACATGATCGCGTCGTAAAAGAACCAGGACGGAGGTCTTTCGCCGTTCTCGGCCTCTAGAGGCCCTCGCCGGGCCCCAGGACCGTCCAAAAACCACTCAGGATGAAAAACCGGATCCGGGGAAAGGGTCTGGATTTCCAGGGACGCCGTCTTGAAAAAATCAGGACGTCGCATGTCTGGGTTTCTCCCCATCCCCACAATGTGGGATAGATAGATTGGAAGGAACTGACCTCCCGACACGTCCACCCTGCATACCGCGGCCGCCCGATCCCCAGGTCCCCCGAGTGTCCCCGAGAATCCCGCTTCGCGCCACTCTGCGTACCGCGGCCGCCTGATGCCCAGGTCCCCCGAGTGTCCCCGAGAGTTCCGCCTCGCGCCACTCTGCATACTGCGGCCGCCAATTCCCCAGGTACCCCGAGTGTCCCTGAGAGTCCCGCCTCGCGCAACTCTGAATACCGCGGCCGCCAAATCCCAAGGTCCCCCGAGTGCCCTCGAAAGTCTCGCCTTGTGCCTCTCTGCATACCGCGGCCGCCAAATCCCCAGGCCCCCCGAGTGTCCCCGAGTGTCCCCTATTGCGCCGACAAATCATCACATGACAGAGTAGCGTAGTCACGTAGCAGAACATAGCCGTGCACAACACTTCAAATAAATTCTAGACGCTTCGCTTCTGACGCTTAGACAGCTTAGGCAGTTTAGGTGCGCGGCTCTAGTTTACTCCTGTTGTCAATTAGTAGACCCGCGCCCCGGACTTACGACGCGCCGCTTGCGCTCTCGCCTGGGCCGCGACCAAAAGAAGTATCCCCACTTGTTCCTCGCAGCTCGCAGTCCCTGGCCGCCGTCAACCCCGGCAGCCTGCCCCTCCCTGCAGCGCGTTGCATGCGTGCACCCTGGCAGTGCAGCTCTTCAGCAGTTGCTGTCAGCCCCTTCCCACTCGCCGGCCTGGCCGCTGAGGTGCTGCATGAGGCTTCGGCCCAGCGCGCCCCGCTCTGACTGGACTCGCCGCTGGCGCGCTCGCCTGCGGCCGCTGACTGAAAAGTATCCCCACTAGCGTGGGTTACTCTGAGGTGCCCACCCTGGTCACATCGCGGTGCCCCCACGCGCCATTTTGGCCGGTCCGCAGCTTCTGCTGCCCAGTTCATTCGCATCCAATCCATGTCGTGACGGTCGGTTCACTTGGCTTTAGCCACCCTGGTACTCTTGCAGTCCCGTGGGTGGTAACGCCCCTGCATACATGTCACTTGCAGCTTGCAGACCCTGGCAGCCGGCCACCCTGGCAATCAGCCTCCCCCTGCAGCTCGTTGCATCCGTGCACCCCTGGCAGTGCAGCCGCCCTGGCAGACGACGCCAGCCCCCCTCCACTCGCCGGCCCGCCCGCCGAGGTGCCGCGTGAGCTTCCGGCCCACCGGTTTAGGTTAATTCGTCTTTGCGCGGCCCGCCCTGACTCGACTCGCCGCTGGCGCTCTCGCCTGCGGCCGCTGACTAAAACTATCCCCATTCGCCCATCCAAAAACGATGTCAAGGGTGGTTGAGGTGATCAGAGAGGTGTCGGGGCAACGAGGGGGCGGTCGAACTGTGCGAAGGAGGGATGAGGAGAAGGAGGAAGCTGCATGGATGGATGAGGGAGTGGGGAGAAGGAATATTAATAAGGTGAACGAGAGGAGGAGTTTTGCAAAAGGGGGATCGGAACTTTCATCAGCGCTCACGCCACGCATGCGGCAGCAGCAGCACGCGGTGGAGCCCTCGGGCGCCCGCTCGGGCTCACTGGCGCCGGTTGCGCGGCAGGCTGACGGCGAGCTGTTGCCGGTGGCTAGCGCGAGCCCAGCGCTGAGCTTTCACTTCTTGGGGTAGCGCCGCCGGAAGGTCAGCTTGGACTCCCGAGTCTCCTCGTCGTCCGTTTGGTCGCCGACCTCCCAGGGTGGAACGTCGGAGAGTCGCTGCCCTGGTCCTTTTGCTGCTCAGCGCTGGTGTTCATGGTGGTTTCCTCTGGGCCCGCCCCCAATGGCGAGTTCCTCCTGCGCCCGCCTACTGCTCCTTCTCCGTCACCTCCTCCTGCATGGCGAAGCCGCGGTTGGAGGGGCCCGCAGCGCGCGCCCTCTGCGCGCGCCGCCTCGGGGTTGTCTGCGCGGCTTCCACCGCGCCTGGACCGTCCGCGCGTCGCCGAGGCACAAGTCCTTCCCGTTGATGTGCACGTGCCTGCCCCGGTCGCCCTTGTTCTGCTGAGTGCTGCCCTCGCCGTCGGGTCCCAGCCAACCCTTGCTCCGAGGCGTAGGCGCACGTGCCCCCGCCGTGGCTCACCTCCACGCCGCTGACGTTCAGGTGCCTGCCCTGGTCGCCCTTGGAGCGCAGCTGCCTCGTGCTCTCGCCGTCGGGCCCCAGCAGCCCCAGTTCCTGCGCTGCGGAGGCGCACTTGCCCCCGCCGTTGCTCACCTCCATGCCGTCGACGTTCAGGTGCCTGCCCTGGTCGCCCTTGCTGTGCTGCTGCTTCGTGCTCTCGCCGTCCGGCCCCAGCTGCACCACCTGCTCCATGACGCAGGCGCACGTGTCGCACTTGGATGTGGAGCCGCAGGAGCCGAAGTCCTCGGTCCCGTCGGCGCGCACGCTGCTGCTGGTGGTGGCCGTCACGACGTTGCTGTCCTGCTTCGTCTTGCCGTAAACGTTGATGTCATTGATGATGCGTTTCTCATGTGTCTCGAGGGCCCGCTGCAGCTTGCCGCCGTCGCCCCACTCGGGTGCCTCGGTGAGCCCCGCCTTCGTCGCCGCCTCGTGCTGCTCGGCCGCGGCGTCGAAAGGTGGGAAAGCAGGGATCTCCTCGAGCTCTGCGTGCACGCGGACTGCCTGGGCAGCCCCCGCGCACTGCTTTGAGGGCCCCGCTTGACAGGGGGCCACTGCCAGCGCGCTCCCACCGAACGGGCGCCGCTCCGCCCTCCAGGACGGCCTGGGAGGCGGCGTCCTCGAGGTCTGCGCGGATGTCGCACAGCATCGCCTTCAGGTCGTCGAGCCCATCCTCGCTGTCGTCCTGCGCGATGGCGCGGGGGTCCTCCAGCAAGCCGCCGAGGCCCTGCTGCTCCCAGCCGCTTCTCGGTGCTGCTGGTGGGCGACCTCAAGGGGGCAGCCGACCTCGGCGATGCCGACCTCCCCGGCGTACGTGTGCGCCTTTTGCTCCGTGAGATGGCGCAGCACATTGGAGCACCCATCGAGTCTCTCCGCTGCCTTGGGGGCTCTTGCCCGTGCCGTGCCCGCTCTTCTGGGCCGCTCGAGCCGCGACCGCGAGGCCTTCGAACGGGCAGCCCAACCAGTTCTCGAAGTGCTCCAGTCGGGGGTGGACAGACCTACCCTGACACGTCGATTAAGGAATTGGCCGTTTTCGGTTCGCGAGGGGGCGTCGCGGCCGTCATTTTTGCGAGTTCAGGTCCGTCGGTTTCGGTCCTAGGCCGTTTTCACTAAGGAGAGGTTTGCTGAAGGGAGGTTTGTCCACCGCCGATCCAGCGCCTTCTCTCTGAGCCAGGAGACCCGCCGCACGTGGCTGGCGACAACCTCCTCCATGGCCCCCAGTCCCTGACAGGGTTGCCGCTGGGCCAGCCGCCTGCTGCCTTGAGCCAAACATGGCTACGGGGATGATGATGATGATGATGATGATGATGATGATGATGCTGATGATGATGAGGATGAGGATGAGGATGAGGATGAGGATGAGGATGAGGATGAGGATGAGGATGAGGATGAGGATGAGGATGAGGATGAGGATGAGGATGAGGATGAGGATGAGGATGAGGATGAGATGAGGATGAGGATGAGGATGAGGATGAGGATGATGATGAGGATGAGGATGAGGATGATGATGATGATGATGACAGGAGGAGGAGGGCAAGCGAAAGGGCCAAAGGTCCCTTGGATACCTCTCGGAGCCTCTTGGGATATCTTTTTGGCGCTTCTTGGAGGCCTCTTGGGACGTCTTGGGGGTCTCTTGGCGGTCCTGGGAGCCGCGTAGTAGTTGCAGTCGCGTGGATAGTAGTAATGAATACTGACCATCCCTTTCTTGGCCCGGGATAGTGAACTCCCAGGTGGTACGGGGGGCATGTTTTATTATCGGGGGCGTTCGGTTATCGAAGACATCTTTTGCGAATCACAGCCGCGCCCTGCCTCGTGATAGTGCTAATTCGGCAAGGTTCTGGCCATAATCCGGCCACGCTACCGCATCATGCCTTTTGATAGCGCCTGCGTGGCCCAACGTTCTGGCCATAGTTCGGCCAAGCCACCGCATCATGTGTTCCCCCAGCCTTTGTGGAGACGCTTCGGGGAACACGTCGGGGAGACAGAAGAAGAGGATGAGAGAGCTCCCTGGCTTTTCCCGGAGGCTCTCTGGCAGTTCTCGGGGGCCTCGCGGCCGTTCGTGGGCTATCTTGGGGCCATGTTGGCTCGTCGAGGGTGCATCGTGTGCCGAAGTGAGGCATCGCTCGACCATCTTGGGCTCTCGTGGGGCCATGGTAGACGTCTTGCGGGCAACTTGGAGGCCATCTTCATCCATCTTGGCCGTTTTGGAGCGGGAGGACCGATGATGTGGGAAGTTTACGAGCACATCTTTGGCGCCCAGGAGGCCAGTATGGGGGGCGGTGCGGAGCTGGAAGGCCGACGACCTTGGAGTGCTCTGCGAAAAAAAAACCGACGACCTTCGGATTTCATGCGCCCCTCCGGATGGCCTGCGGGATCGGCTGAAGGCCCATTCTCGGGGGTGGGCAGACCTCCTGCTCTGGAGGGGGCGTCGCGGCCGTCACTTTTGCGGGTGCAGGTCCGCGCCTGCTCCGGTCCCAGGCCGCTTTCATTGAGGGGAGGTCTACTACGGGGAGATTTGTCCACCGCCGAATTTGAAACCGCTAAAAAGGAACAAGTTTCTGGCAGGCCGTGCACCGCTGTGGCAAGCACTGGGGGCGGCGTATCG